AGAGGAAGAGGTAAGCATTCACACTTTGGTTATGATAATTAAACAACCTTGACCATGAATAAGGGCCATTTGACCTCTAAAACCCTTACTTACAGGAAAGATAAGGCTTTCATTTCAATATGTAAGATGTTTTGAAGGGGGAACCAGCAGTTAGCATAATGACTGTGTCACTGGACTCCCACTTAGTCAACCGCGGTTTGGTCCCGATCCAGTGGCTTAAAGCTCAGGCCAGGCGCGTGTGCGTGCGAGCCCAAGATCCCCAGAGGAGAAGGGATTGCGGCGTGACCATCCCCCTGGGGGTGATTTCTTGCTTTCTGTCTCTATGTCTCTATCTGTCTGTCTGGCAAGTGCACGTGCCCTATAGCAAAAACCTCTTGGGAAAAAAAAAAAAGATGTTTTGTAGGGTGGAAACTGCTGGCTATGAACTCAAAGATCCCAGGCTGAATGGCTCCAGAAACCTGAACTGAAATTTGATTATCTAAGACCTCACCAGATGAGAATGCTCATGAGATGATTATGTTCTCTTGAACCAATTGCTTAACTGATCAAGTGTCTGGAACCTCTGCCCCAATTTTGCCCTTAAAAACGCATATGGGGGACATCTCAGAGAGACCAGGTCTTTTCAGCATGTGCTGCCCACTCTTCTTGGTTTGCGCTTTGCATTAAAGCTGTACTTTTCTTCATTGCATCATGTGCCTGTGGTTTGGTTTTATAGCGCTTGGGTGAGTGAACCTGATTTGAGTTCGGTACAGCCTTACTACCCCCATCTGCATCCTGCAGTTCCCCCCAAGGTAGATGGGGTCACACTTTCTTATGCTAACTTTACCCCATCCTTCACCAGTATAAGAGGAGAGGGAAAAGAGGCCTTTTAGGAGCCGTTCTCCTTCTGAACCCCTTGTCCAAGTTAGGAAGGGGGAGATGGAATTAAATCAACCTCAATACCGCAACCTCTGATTATTCCCTCTCTTCCATGAACAGAGGGGAAGACAGAGCTTTGTTGTTGTTGTTTTAGAATTATTTTATTTAACTTTATTTACTTATTTATTTTAAAATTTGACTAGAGAGGAATGGAGTAAGGGGGGTATTGAGAAAGCAAGACACCAGGTCCAATGCGAACTGTGGTCAGCTGTGTGGAAGTCCAGTGCCATTAACTATCATACCACCTGCTGGCCCCCAGGAAGACAGATTTTTAACAACCATTCTCCTTCTGAAGCCTCTACTTGGTCTACTGTGTGCAAGGCAGGGCTGAATCAGCCTCAAAAATCCCTACCCTAGATCCTGAAGTGACAGAATAGAATGTGGAAGAATCATCCTTTCTTTTGCAAAGTTTTCCCTATACCTTACCAATATAGAAACAGAGGGAAAAAAGGGTCTTTCAGCAATGCCCAGTCCAGGGTGTGGGAGGCTGGGCTGAATTAACTTCTACACTCCTACCTCTGATCCAGCAGTTGTACTAAGTTAACCCTATTTTTTGCACATATAGGAGCAGAGTGAAAATAGGACTTTAAGTGGCCGTTCTCTACCTGACACCCTATGTCCAGTGTAGTGTGTGTAATGACAGTCTGGATCAGACTCAACACCCTTCCCTTATTTGACAGTAGAAGGAACAGAGATAATAGACTCCTTTTAGCAGCTATTTTCCACCTTAAGTGCCCTACAGAATCTAGGGTGCAGGAGGTGGGGATAAATTGTCCTTAACATTCCATGTCTGATCTTGCAACTGAAAAAAAGAAGATAGGTAGGGTCACTGTTCTGCTAACTTTACCAACCCTTCACCATAGAGGAGAAGAAGAGCAGGCCTTTTAGCAGCTATTGTCTAGTCTAAGGTGCAGGAGGCAGGACTGAATGGCCTCAACTTCCCAAACACTGATCCTGGAGTTCTGCAGTAGACGGTATATAGGGTCACCATTTCTTGTGCTGAAAGACCCCCGACTCAAAAGCCGGTAGACCATTCAGTCCGAGGAGAGTCACGGTGACCCCAATCAACCACAAGAGTCAGATCTTGCTGCAAAGTACAAGAGGATTTTATTGCTAGTGCACTAGGACTCCACTCCTGGTCACAACAGACCCAGTGGGAGGTGGAGTCCCGAACAAAAGAAACACATAGATTATATAGGCACAAGTTGGAAGGGTGAGGGGAGTGAGAAATGAGGAAATAAGATAAGGGTCTTTTAAGTATGGTTATCTTTTTCTGCTGGCTCTGGCAAGGAGGGTTATTTTCGCAAGTGGGTTACAAAGGCCTTTTGCAGATGTTGCAACTGAGTCAGGTCAGATACTCAGGGTGGTCTGGTGCTGATTTCCCCAGGGGGGTTATACATTTTTGCAGGGATCTGGCTTTCTGCACGGAGCTGAGCCTGTATGCAGGAAGCTGAGCAAGTCCCAGTAGCTCACATATCTGAGGGCTGTTTTTCAAGGTGGCGGCGTAAGCTTTTGTACAGAAGGAAGAAGAGCAAGCAGTTAAGTTTAATTTTTACAGAGTACAGATTGTGCTGAATTTTGTTCTTTCAGTGCTAACTTTACCCTAACCTTTACTCTAAGAAGCAGAGTAAAAAGTCCTTTGAACAGGCATACCCCACCTGGAGACCTCTGCATAGTCTAGGGTGATGGAGCCAAGGCTGAATCAGACTCATCATACTGAGACAGTGAGACAATAGGTAGAGCAGTCTCCCCACCCCTAGAAAAGAGTCACTGCTCTCTGGCTCCTGATAATTCCTCTTCTCCCAGTCACCATATTCATTTGAACTTAGACATGTAAATCTTACTTTTGAATAATTTATGGTTCAAAGCTTTAGACGGAGCCTACTGACCTTCATACCCACTCCAAAATCAGGAGAATAATTGGACCCATCCAGCATGTGCCACTTCCCACCATGAAGGGAATGCATGACCAAGCTCCACCTAGAATAAGTCCAGACAAAGTCCTTCCTGACCCAAATAAAAACCCCTTGCAGTACAGTTCTACCTTGATAATCCATTTTCTGGATGCCCTTCTTGGGAGTTCAGTTTTTCTTTCCCTCTCCTTCAATAAACTCCCCGCTTCGTGGTACTTACTCTGTCTGGGACTCTAATTCTCCCTGAGCATGGGGCAAAAACCTGTCTTACTGCAAATACACCTCCTGTGCCCCTGCACCCCCACGTTCCTGCATCAATGCTCACCCCTGATCCTGCAGTTGCAGAGTAGTAAGTAGGTGTTATTGTGATAGGCAGCTAACTAGAAATGAGCAAGCAGCCCTAAGAAAATAGCAAAAAGTTACCTGCCACATCAGTCACAACTTATCAGGCATTTCAACCAGACCCTTCATGAAAATGCTGCTTTCCCAGCCAGCTCCTTGTGCCAAGAAAGAGAGGCAGATTCCATTTTTTCTCCTTTAGTACCTGTGGAAGAAACAGGGATGATTGTAAGATTCCTTCTTATTATTTCTCACAAATACAAAAAGTTCCACCTAGACATTTTGGTCAACATCATGATTCACACTAGGGCAATAAACTAAGCAGGCAGTTCATCAGAATAAATATGCTCCTCTCATCAAAACTCATATGGTGCTATTAGGTCATCAAATTCCTCAAATTCTTTATCCTTAAGAGAGATGTCCAAGCTCAGGAGAAATGCAGATACCATAACAGACCTCCTATTGTTAAATATTCACTATCACCAGCAGTAATAGAAGTAACACATAACCAGTTCCAAATGCAGCTGCTATGTAGAAACCTGCCCATACAAAAGTCTTGGGTGTACTTCTTTTTTAAAATCTTTCTTTTCTCTTAAACTCTCTTTTCTACCTACTTTTTTTGTGGTTGTGGGTTTACTTTTTTGGAGAGGTTTTGCTATAGGGTGCATGCACTTGCCAGAAAGACAGAGTGAGACACAGAGACAGAAAGTAAGAAATCACCTCCCCAGGGGGGATGGCCATGCCACAATCCCTTCTCCTCCATTCTCCTCCTGGGATCTTGGGCACACATGCACACATGCCCGGCATGAGTTTAAGCCACTGGGTCTGGGACTTGAATTGCATGTGTCTACATATGAGTCCAGTGACAGCCATTACACCAACTGATGGTCCTTGTTGTGGCTTTATTTTGTGCCCAGGGTAGGTTTCTAATTCTAGAGATCTGGATCTGAAAAACCAAGAATTTTACATAATGTTGCTCAGCACTCTCCCATCCTATGACAGTGTTAACATTTCTATGCTAACTTTTCCCTAACTTTCACCCATACAAGAGAAGAAGGAAAACAAGCCATTTAGCTGCTCTTCTCCTAAAGCCCCTTGCCTACTTTTGGTTGTGGGAGACCTGACTAACTCAGCCTCAGCACTCCACCCCGATCCTGCAGTTGCAGAGCAGAAGATAGGCTGGGGTTACCCTTTGTTTTGCTAGCTTTACTTTATCTAACACCTTTATAGAAGCATTGGGAAAACAGGTCTTTTAGTTGCTATTCTCCACCTTAAGTCCCCTGCCCAGTCGATGAAGAAGGCAGGGAAGAAACGGCTTTAAAATCTCCACCTATGATCGCATAGTTTTAGAGTAGAAGGAAGAGGGGGTAACCTTTTATTGTACTAATTTTCCACTGAACTTCATTCATAGGAGCAGAAGGAAAGCAATCATTTTACCAGCCATTCTTCAACTCAAGCCCAAGCCAAGTCTACATTGCGGGAGGCTGGACCGAATCAACTTCAATCACCCCACTCCTGATGAGGTGGCAAGTCACCTTTTCTTGTGCTAATTTAACTCTATCCTTTACCCACACAGGAGCAGGAAATACCAACCTGTTTCAGGTTTTTGTTTTTTCTTTTTGAGAGTTACCCCCCCCCCCCCCCCACTCGGGCGCGCCAGGCCGCCCCACCA